GCTTTGCCCTCTTCTCCTTGAGTGGAATAATGAGTTCAAGCATCACTCAAACGAAATACACCTCTATCCACTTCTCAAGCAACTGGAAACTGGGAGTGGTAAGGACTCACACACTCCACAAGGAGAAATGGGGGATACTCACATTGGAGAGTCCCAAGGAATGATGCTCCAGAGACTGTGCAATAGAAGAACCACATTCCCTATTTTGAAAAACAAACTAACCCCGATTTATTCAATGTAGGGGTTAGCAGAGATGAGCAAAATCTCCTCAAGTTGTACTCATGACAGTCCATGAGTGGTGGTCCAGTAGTGTATTTGTCTTTGTATTATCATTGTTTACCACCCAGAAAGTGCACAAGATGGTCTTTTGGGACACCCCATCTCAACAGAGCTTGTTGCTACCAGGAAAGGTTTTTTTTATCAGTCAACTGGTAGCTAGTGCGGATTTGGAAGGAAGCATGCCTGACTAGGCAACACCGCTACTGAGTGGGATCTGAATGAAAATGAAAGGGTCCCTGAAAAAGAAGAGAAATAAACAAAGAATAAATGAAGTCATTCACCTCTCTGACTATCTAGTTGAGACACGGAGAATAGCCAAAGGGGTTAGCCAAAAACATTCTGAGGAGGTAACTGCCAAATCAAGAAAAGAATGATATATAAATGTATTGGGCATGGTCCACATACCAGCTTGTACAGTCTCCTCCAGTAGGTGATGCAACTGAACTGCCAAGGACATCAAGATATGGTGAACTTCATGACAGGATACCTGAAGAAGACACTGATCCTTTAATGAAAACCAAGAGTAAGTAATACAAAGAACCCAACCTCTCAAAGCAACAGAGGATAAGTCATGTGACACCTGAGGACCCCAACAATGAAACAAACATTGACACAAACCCTGAAACCCTTTACTGTGTGGAACATAACATCAGAGAACCGAACCAGGCAAAAAAGACAATCCAGATCCGAGTGGTCATAAAAGTAAGAAATGGAGGGAAGATGAATAGGAGAGAAAGCCTTAACCCAATTTCAAGCTACTGAAGTTTTGTGTAGAAAGGACCTACTGTAATACAATATAACATAAGTGGAATGGGAAAGAGTTCTGTGAACATGAATCACAAACATGAACAAGAAGAATTAAAACCATGTCTGATAGACCACTAGCAATAAGTAAACCATTTCCATTGATAAATTTCCAACAAATAATCCTCAAGGGACTGTGGTAATAAAGATGCCACCCAAGAGGTCAATCCCTGGTGAGCGTCAGATGAAAAATATTCCAACGAGGCTGATGTAAGAGATATGGTCAGAGAGGAAATGGAAAAGGTTGGCACTCCTGAAGATACTAAAGGAGTGGAAACTAAGGCTAACACAGCCAATGTGAAACCACCAGAAAAACTCAACAAGATGAGGAGCAAATCAATGCAAGAACTTTGGATAACAGATGAATCAGAGGGAACACATAAAGATGACAACCCATCCAATCCTGGCTGAAAGTATCTATGCCCAAAGCCAGAGGGTGAGGTACAGGAGACCAGAAGGATGAGAGATGGGCATTCTGGTATGGGGTTAAATCATTGATCTGAGGCATCCCGAGTCAAAAGCAAATCCAACAAAAACTTGTGGAAAAAGCATCCACTCTGTGGGAAGAACTCTATTAGGACAAGATAACTGATCAGCCACTAAATTCATTACACCCGGAATATTACAACCAAGGAGAACAATCTGATGATTGTGGGCCCAAAAGAGAAGATCCAATGTCTCAAAACAAAGAGACCTAGATGGAGTGCTTCCTTGCTTGGAAATGTAGGAGACTACAGTGGAACTATCTGTGTGAAGAATTACCACCTTCCCTCGCAAAATGTGAGAGCCCAAGACATAACTCGTTGAACTGCTAGAAGCTCTAAAAGATAGATGTAGAGAGAAGATTCTTCATCTGTTCAGAGAACCTAAAAGTTGATATCTCCTATACAAGTGCCCCAACCCTGGAGAGAAGCATCTATGAAAAGATGTATCTCTAGATGTGAGGGCGGAACAGGGACACCTTCTGTCATGTAGTCCCTGTCCAACCACTAGCCAAGATTGAGCAGGCTGGAAGCCAATAGGATGAACATCCGTGCAAATGTTCCACTGGTCTCATGATGACCACTGAAGGAAATGCACGTAGGCCTGACCTAAAGGAATTAGTGATTTCAAGGATGCCCATATCCCCCAAAAGAGATAGAACTGCATGCACCAATGGAGAAGGAGATGATTGTATTAGAAGAATGACCCATTCCATGGTCTGAAGGCATAGAGGAGACAGCTGAGCCCAACCAAGATGGGAGTTAAAAAACATCATGAAAAAGATGAGGTACTGTGTGGGAAAAAGAATAGACTTCTCCATTGTGATGAGAAACTCAAATCTCACAGTTTCAGATAAAAAGCTTGTGTATAAAGTTCTGCCAAGTGGCGGGAAAGAGCAAGAAGAAGCCAGCCATCCATATTTGGGTGAATGCCCTATAAGTGAAGATGATATGAAAAGGATCTAATTATCCAGCAAAAGATGTTAGGCAAATAATAGAGTGCAAAACTGAAAAATCTGTCAATCAAGCACAAAATGGAGACAACAATATGAAGACTCTGTGATCTGAATATGAAATGAGGCATTGGTGACATTGATCCTTGTCATCCATAGACTGGATGAAGTGTGTCACTGAAGGGAAAAAAATGATTGAGATGAGAATGTCAGTGACAGGCCACCAATCATCTGTCTTTTTTGGTACTACAAACAAACATGAAATGCAGAAAATCATTCAGTAGAAGATTGGGAAAGACAAAAGGCCAGTGTCAAAAGAGAAAAGTGGAGATGGATCATATCCATTCTAGATTCCATGGAAACTGGAATACCCACGAAAATCGAATATCTGAGCTTCTCTGAGATCTCTAAGGGCCAAAGAAGAAAGTCGAACTTCCTCAAGTAAGGCATCTAACTCCAAAAGATCCCAGCAACAAACCAGCCAAGAGACCAAGGAGAAAGTAGAAGCTGATAACTTTACCAAAGTAGAAGTCAATAGATGACAAAGATCCTCTGAAAATTGAACAGGAGACCTGTGATAGGTCTCAGACAACAGTTTTAAGGGACAGGCAAATCCAGGAAAACTGAGTTAGGTTAAGACGAACAGTGGCATCGGCCTAGAACCCCAAAGAGAAAGAAGAGGATCTAGATCTAGTCTCTGAGAATTCAAATACGGTTCTTCAAGCAATGGAAAGCTATGGCATGCTGATCCAATAAATATGGAGGACAAAGCATGGCAGCACCCTTTCTCAATTTATTAGCAATGTCTGGTGAGGGTGTAAAGGCCAGGTAATTAACCGATTGACTGTCACCCCAACAAAGAAGGAGAAATGCTCAAGACATTACAAACTGGATGTCCTAGTTGCAAAAACAGTGCAAGATGCAGGATGGCCATCCAAGACTCATGATTAGCTGTCTGGGCAAAGGAAGATGCTAGAAAAATAAAGTCCAAGTCACACAAAACAGCCCTTTATCCCCCACAAACTCTGCTTCTGAGCCGACAGGTGAAGAAACATCAGACCTCATGTAAAAGTCCACCTCTCTGCATATGAACTTCTGTACATCCCCCCCCCCCATGCACTAAGAGACTCCATGTCAGAGACATGACCTTGTGAACATCTCAGAATTAATTTCTTTATATAGAATATTTTTAACACCAAATATAACTGAAATCACTTTGAAAAACTATTACTTCGAAATTTCATTTTCATTATTGTGTAAAATAAGTAAAACAGACAACAAACTCCATATCCAAGAAAACAGGTCTAGAAAAAAAGGAATCGTCTAAACCATAAGTATAACTAAAGCATTCAACACTGAAAAGAAACATTCAGAACTTGCTTTGGGCAATATAGTTGGGTATAAAGGATGAAGTAAGTGAGATAAGAGTTATACCAATGCACAGATGGACAGAAAAGAGAAACTATAGTGTGAGAGGAAGTAAATGTGTTTCAAAAATCATGCATCATGATAAATGGAAATAAAAAAACTAGAGGGGCACTCAGTGGAGCACATACTTCCACCAAGCAGCATTGATCATATTTGGCTCTCAAAATAATATGAAAATGTGTCCATATGTGTCTGTATCCTGGGATAAAGGGCTCACTGATGTAGGTGGAAAGATTTAACTTGCTTTGGGCAATATAGTGGGGTATAAAGTCTGGAGCAAGCAAGGTAAAATTCATACAAATGTACAGATGAGCAGAGAATAGAAATTTTGTCAGGATAAAGCTATAGTGTGAGAGGAGGTAAGTGTGTTTTGGAAATCACGCATCATGATAAATACACATAAAAAACTAGAGGAGCACTCAGTAGAGCACATACCTCCACCACACAGCATTGACCATAATCGGTTCTCAAAATAATACGAAAATGTATCCATATGTCCATAGTTATGAACGGACACAAACCATTTTTGGCAGAACAATGAGGAATAATGTCTTACATAAGTCTAACAAGTTTAATCAAAATCTAATCATTTTTGACTGAGTTATAGAGCAAAAATAGTGTGAAAAATTGATCCCCATGTTAACGGATAGGGATTTTTGGATTTTCGTGACCTTTGACCTTGGCCCTCCAAAAACTAATCACTTCTAAAGTGAGTCCTACTTCAAATGTATACCAGCTTTCATCTAAGTCCATTTAGCTGTTTTCAAGAAATCTTGCTGATACATACAAACACACAGGGGTGAAAACATAACCTCCATACACCTTCAGTGACGGTGGTAATTACAGAATAAAAGTATAAACAACCAGGATTTTACTCAGCAATGTGATCAGCTTTTAAAACACTACTAATTTCCATTATTAGAAATGTTTATTCACAATCATGTGGTACCTCATATATATACTAACTGAATACAGCTAAGTCCCCACTTTTCAGTTAAAATTGGTCTCTATAAGAGAGGAGTAAAGACTGAACAATCCTTCAAGAACTATTTACCTGTCACTACTGCTTTCACTGTCATCACTACTTGATGACCTTGCTCTTTTCCTCTTTTCTTTTTCCCTGCCTCTTTCCTTTTTGTCAACTGTCTTTGTTTTTTTAGTATCAGAAGTCTTTGCCACATCACTGGAATGGATTTGAGTCCTAGTTATATTCAAATTAATAACATTAATATTTTGACTTACAATGTTTTAAGCAAAAAAACAGTCAGATTTATTCAAAATAATAATAACGTTTGGACAGTGTATTGTCATATATATAGTGCTTTATTCAAACACTACTTAGAAAGACATGGAAAATTTTCTTTTAAAAATGATATTGTCAGTAAAATTGCTAAACCCAAACTAAAATACACTGATGTTGTTTTAATCAGCAAAATAAACCCAAGAGACCAAGGCTGGTAAATATAATTACTAGTAGTATAAAATCATAACAAACTGAAAAAATAGATAATCCATTCTTGGATCTTACTGATCATTCAACTTTATCATTATGAAAAACTGTCATACAGTTGCATATATCATATACCAATGCTTTGAAATTTCTCTGCACTCTAACAGTCAGCTGCTCTTGAGTTTGTATGAAGACCATACAGTATACTTGAGTAAATATTCTTTCTATGGTGACATCATTATTATTTAGATTAAGGTTGTGTACTAATGCAAATGCAATGTAATATACTTGTATATGATCAAACACTAAGATATGGCCACTAATACATATACCTATCAATAGGTCAGAATTTGTTCATATTATTTGTTGGATGAAGTTTTCACTTTTTGCCCATCTCAGGCATGATGAGTTGATCATAGTTTGAGATGCAGTGATGTAGCTAGTTATTGTTTAGTTTAGGTTGTAGGTTACAAATTAGGAGTGCTTCCATTTTTCTTAGCAACCATTCATCTTTCTCTGAGTCTGTTATTCGGAGGTGTTCACTGTTTGGTTTCAGAATAATAGTGAAAACTTCATCCAACAAACAAGTGTGAATATCTACTGAAATGGAAAAAAACTCTTATGTTGTTCATATTAAAATAGAAAAAATTTAACATTAGCAATACGTTTTGTTAAATATTCCAATTACAAAAATGGTATACCCTTTGTATTTGGAAATATAGCAATTTTGCATACTAATGAATGAACACATGTATACATATTTAATGGAATAGGTAACTGTTATATTTTTTATTCCACCATCATTCAACAAGTCTGTTTGAACTCAACTCAAGCACTAGAATATTATGAATATTTAATACAAGTTCCACTACAGAGAAAATCTAGATCACTTTTGACTTATAACAGCAGGCTCAATGGTCTTTACATTATAAATTTGTGACTACACTCTACTGTAATTCTGACTGATGAGAAAAATAAACTAACTCAAATGAATTTGAGAATGCAATTTGAGCTTACTACAGTTATTTACAAGGAGAGGTATATTATTTAAATCTTCCTATTTGTTAATGTTTGTACATCCTTATTTTCTTGAAAATTTATGAAGGATCACTAATGGAATATCTTGTCTGCTACTATATGTTATGTAATATTTTGAGTGTTGTATATATTAGTAACAACTTATCGGTTACTTGTTATCACATTCTCTCATACTGCTGTACATGCTAATATTGGCAAAGGAAACAATGTTTGTCTTCTAGTTATCATCATAAATTACTGAAATGTTTTACACATAAATATTAATGAATAAAAATATACTTACATGTTTGAATGCTTAATTCAACTACCTAAGAAAATAAAAACAAAAATTAGCAAGCAATATTATTATTTACAGAAATAAATTAATCTGCCATTATTTTTAGCTACATAGCATTTAATGTTTTGATATATATATTTTTAGTATAATTTAAAGAATATTCTAATATCAAACAGTTGTATGTAGTAACCCTGATAAAGCCACAAAGGTGAGCATTAGTTAAAAAAAAAGTTCTTTTATAATTACCTGGAGTATAAAGATAATTTTTTCTAACCTTTTTATCATATAAATGTAACTATTTATCCCATTTTCATGAAACTATACTAAAACTAAATTAATTCCTCATATTCTGTAAAGTAGAAATCTAAATAAAAAAAGAAAAGTTTGTGTTGCTATTATCTAATTACATCAGGGCTTAGAATAAATATCATACCTTGCTCATTGTCCAACAGAATTACAAATTTCAACAACAAAATCAATAAACATTAGATCAAGCAATAACATCATATTTAAAAAAAAATGCAAAAAAAAACTTTTTATCTTCTCCCTTCAAATCCTTAGAGCTGATTTATTACTTTCAGAAAATTTAGTCAAGTTTTATTTCTAGTTGCTTAAACTTATTTTTATATAATTGAAGTCTACATTTTTCCAGTGTTTCAGAGAAGAGGTGCACCTCATTTGATAACAAGATGTGAAAAGATTTTCTATAAAGGTATTTTATGCAAATAATATCACACACACAACTGTCATGACAATTAAAACTGAGATTTGTATGTGTAAGAGCTATGCAAATAACTCAGAGTTATATTGATTAAATTGTTAACTCTGCATAGATATATATTATTATCTTTAACTTTTTTTTTATCAATATTAAATTCAATCACCCAGTGGAATTCTAATATTTTAATACTTAAACTGTTTGAACTATAACATATATATATATATAGTGAGAGAGAAAGAGAGATGGGTGATTTAATCAATTGATCGATTACCCATGAGCAGTGCTTACATCCATAAACAAATTGATTAATCAGAAATATAATTCAATTAACCTTTGAATGTCATTAAAATAATTAACTCATTGAAATTAGTGTTTCCAATTATTATCATTTTCCATTAATCAATTAACCAAAATTATGATTTAATCAACTGTCATGAAAATAATCAACTAATTTAAATTAGCTGTTCCGATTATTATTGTTTTCAATTATTCCAATAATCAATTAATCAAAATTAGAGTTTATTATTATTCTGAATATCCAAGTAATTGGAATATCCCTACCATACATAATGGGAAGGTGGTGGAATGCTTTGTGATTTGAGGTTCTTGGGTTTGATTCCCTTTGGCACTAAATTTACTCATCCTGTCTTTGTTATTGCACAGCTACTAAGGATAACTGCCACTGTCACTAATTTTGAACTGCTGACTAGAGGGGCAAGTGGCTGATTGCATCCACCTCCAACTCTCTGGCTTCTTACATATTAAATAAAGGGTGAATTTATTGTTCTTTTACACTTTTATGTTTCTAATTTATAACTGTGAAACAGTATTCTTCAGTGTTGTATAAACAGAAGATTTAGGGGAGGGGTCCAAAAGGTCAAAACCCCACCCAACTTCCACCACCTACTTCTTTTCAGAAATTAAGAACTTATCTAATGTTGTATAGGTACTGATCTAGGGGAATCTGAACCTGCTCCATTTTCTTTTCAGTAATTAATCAAAAACAGCCAATAGTATCAAAAAAGAAATATTAGATGCCAATGTTTTTATTTGACTGGTCTATTAATTATTGTAAAAGCTTTTGTCAGTTTTTCTTAAGTCAACACAGCAGGAGTCTACAACAATCTGGTTATGGCCTCAGCCACTAACTTCTAAATGAATACACTATCAATATCAATTAAACATTGTCATGGTAAATTGTTGGCCCTTAGCTATTTCTAGATGCTCTTAATAATGTATGCATGTGTGTGCTAGACTTTAGAGATTTGTTTTCATCAAAGTTAGTATTGCTTATGTCAGGGTTTTTATATATATGTATATGGATGGCAAACAGCAGTAGAAAAAACGACATGAACGACAGCAAGAATAAGTAGGCCCATATACCCACAACTGTAGTAATAGTGCAAATAGTGTGGAGATTATAATCATGCTGTATAACCATGTCAAATTCTGATAAATGGATAAATGTCTTGGGTTAAAAGGCAGTGAACTACAAGAGTTTGTTAAATAACAACAAGAACTATAGAGAGAAGAGCGTATACAGAAAAGAGAGGAAGAAAAGAAAGACTGAAAGAAGAGAGACTAGAAATAGAGAGAATAAGAGCACAAACTGAGATTGCCAAGCTCACCCAACAAAAAGATGATGGACTCAAGAATAACAATGAAATCAGGGCCAGCAGACCCAAGCTGCCCAAATCTGATGAACAGAAAGATGACATGGATGCTTTCCTGGAAAGATATGAAAGATTTGCCCAAAGTCAGAACTGGGACAGAGGCGACTGGGCAGTCTGTCTCGACCCACTTCTCACACGAAAAGGCCTACAAGTATATGCAGGCATGATGTCATAAGATGCCATGGACTATGACAAATTAAAAGTGGCTTTGCTGAAACAATGTGAACTTACTGAAGAAGGTTTTCGCCAGAAGTTCAGAGAAGTCAAACCTGACACTGGAAAAATTGTATTTCAGTCCAAAAATATCCAGCTAAATTTGAAACCAGTGATGGTTGATCAGGAGCATGAGTCTACCAAAGGTGACAGGAGGTTAAAAGACATAGGAGAGAAGAGATGCTATGTTTGTTATAGAAAGGGACACATTGCAAAGGAGTGCAAGTCCATTACCAACAAGCAACAGGATAAATCTCAACATAAAGCAGCTGGAGCTATTTACAAAGATAGTGCTGGTAAGAAACAAGAAAAGAGTGACTGTCACCATGGATGCTACTGTCAGAAGAAACAAAATCAAGACAACTCATCAGATTCACCACAAGAAGGAAGTGCCATTTCCATGATTGATCAGTGCACGACTAATGGTCAACTCAAGTTAGCAAATGGATCAATAGTGCTAGTAGTGATCAGAACATGTTGCAAATATCAAGAGGTGCCAACAAATCATGACAACATGTGAAAGCTATGTTGGGGACAATAAAGTGAAGGTTCTGCAAGACACTGGGTGCAGTAGTGCAGCAGTGAGAACCAATCTAGTATCTGATAATCAGAGAACAAGCAAGGAACACCTGTGTGTGCTAAATGATGGGACATGAGAAAGTTTCCCATAGCAAAAATAAGGGTGGATACTCCATATTATATAGAAGACCTTGAGGCCATGTGTATCAAGGAACCAATAAACTACTTAGTGATAGGAAACATAAAAGGTAGTAAAAATTTGAAAGAAGTGCAGAAGAAAGACTCTTCACCACAGAAACTTCGGGACAGTGCCTAAGAGAAAGTCAAGCACAAGACAAAGATGAAAGAGACTTACAAAACAGAGGACCAGAAAGGAATATTGAACTGGACCTATCAAAGCAATTCTACTGGGGAGGCCAAACCCAGTCAGATACTTTTCTATAACAAGAAGGTCAAGGGTCAACATTTCAAGGCCAAACAGAAGGTTTTAGTTTTGCTACCTACAGACAACAATAAACTCACCTGGGAATGGAAAGGACCTTTCACATTACAGGATGTGGTCAACAGAATGCACTATATAGTGAAAGTTGATGGAACAACCATGGTCTACCATGCCAACCTGTTGGTGAAGTACTTAAAAAAGGGAGAAGACCTTATGGGTGTAACTATTGATGTACAGATGGACATGGCAGGTGTGGCTGTCATAGAAGCAGAATCTGAAGACAATGACTTCATTATAGAAGATAAAGACCCACTAGGCCTAAGACTATTGGGTGGAGATGAGATGTACAAAGACATCAACATAAGTGAAGAACT